GTTTTTTTTTTAAATAATTTCCATCTGCTTTGGACATTCTGAATCTTATGATAGTTTATAAAAGCAGATTTTTTGGTGTAGGCCCAGATTATGTATTTGCTCAAGGTAGAGGTCTGACTTGATGCCACACTTTTGAGTTCCAAAATGGTCCTTAAAGTAAAAAATTAAATCTTTTGTTGATTGGCTTGAACCTCCATAAATATATGTCATAATATATACTTATACTTTGGGGGCGTAACTTAATGGCCAAATAGAAAGTGAAAATGCCTCGCTTCAAATCCTGCCGTATACAAACTCCCTGGTTGATATTAACACATCATTCTGTCAATCATGATCCTCTGAGTAGCTTTATATTGATGTAACTGATATTTGCCATTCAGGACATCAATGTCTATCTACATCCACGTTTATGTTGCACTTGAGACCCTCTCTATGTCTCTGAATGGGTCATTCAATAAGGAATAGGAAACTAGATTTCAAAGCTATTTTCTTTCCATTAATAGAATTCATAGTCTTGAGACTTTCTAAGTTTTTGAAACAAAGGGAAAATAAATTGGCTTTGAGACCCTTAAAATAGATTGCTTTTTTACAAAAACGAGTAAGAAGAACTACAAGAGAAAATGGACAATATATGGAAGTTGGGAACCATTATATTGGAGGTAGAGATGGAATTGTGAACAAAAGAGTGGGAGCTCACTTATGCACATGCCCTTCCTTGAAATTTTTAGGAAGAATAAAGGCAGTCATAGTTTACTTGGATCATCTTAACCTCCTTTGGTTCTGTTCACAATCCTAATTTGAAACAGCCAATAAATACATGCCTTACAACTGTTACAAGTCAACTCTTGTGTAATCTGAAGCCATGTTTAAAATTATTTTTGAACCTCCAAAGCCACTAGGAATGTACTATTGATGCAGCCGGATGCCTGGGTTGGACAGGACTAAACTTTTTGATAGATTGGGGGGAGGTTCATGAATTTACACAAAATAGATATTTTAAGGGTGACATTGAGCTAACATCTCTCTCTCAACCCCAGTAAAATGGTCATGGCGAACAATTTGTGAAAATTTTATCAAGAAAACTACACAACTTGTCCACCAACCACCAGAAGACCTGACAAAGGCATTATCTAATGTATAGAAACAATATTAATTTATGGATCCTAACTGTCTAGACAGATTTTTACAGTTTTTTTCCTATATATGTTATATCATCTTCAATGTTTTGAGATTTATCAATCATTCTTGTAAACTTCTGATTTATTCCAGAACTTATTTATTGGAACTTATTTAAGAGAAGATTCCAGTCCAATGCAACCTTCATGTATGACTGAAACTGATTATGGATCAGTTCAATCCATGTAGTTTATCACAATAATACTTTCTCTATGATTTTTGAAAATGGAAAAAAAACAACTGGTAACATATCCATCACAAACCAAAGTGACATCTTGCTAGAAATGATGGGTATGTTATCAGCTGTTCCCACATCTTCTCAAAAATGAGAGGCAAAAATGGCATGTATCCAGGCTACAAAGAGCAATTATTTTTTTAATATTTCTAAAGGGTCCATGTTAGCAGATTTCAAAACTTCTCAACACAAATGTGTAATTACTAAAGTGTAAGAGGTAAGCAATTAAAGTAAATGCATACCTGCTTCCACTTAATGCAGAATAGCAGTTGTTACGTGCAAATAGCATAATAGTGCAAAATATATATGTACAGAGATAATATCCTCAGGTCTGTTTTCTGAAAATGAGCAGATACTCATATACTTTCCAGGACTAGAAAGAAAATGTATAGTATGATATAGAGCAGTGTTTCTTGATCTCAGCCCCTCAAAGATGTATCACTGAGGAATTCTGGGAGTTGAAGTCCATCCAAGTTAACCTTGCCAACTTGAGAATCACATATTCTAGTGGTATAGAAGACAGAATTTTAAAACTATTTGATGGCTTAGGGTTATTACTAGTATCCTCTCTCAGATTAGAGTTCTTATGTATGTTACTCAGAACCCTACTAAGCTATTGAACTGAGTTTTGGCTTACTCCTACAAAAATATATATTCATATACATAAGATTGCTGCTATGTTATACAATAAATAACCATCCAAAGAGCCTTCTGGTGTACTCACCCTTTCAGCCATAGGAAGTTCAATAATGAGGAAAGAATATCTTTGACACTGGCCAAGATACCAGCTTCAAGAATGGAGGAAACACCTACTTTGGCTTGGAGCCTCCCATCTCAAATTATCCTCTTGGTGGGGATGTTTTGCAGGGAAATTCTAATTGCATTTGGCTGTGCATGATTTAGCTGCTGTGTGCTATCACAAACCCTGCCTTGCCAATCATTCATAGAATGATAACAGCATTTTAAAAAAGGCCTTCCCTGTCAGAAATGGGAGTAGTCATAGCAATATTTTTATTTCATATGTGCTAAATCTAAGGCAATAATTTACAACAGAGTATAAAGAACATAAAGTATAACTAGATGGGCATTAGATGGGACAATATTCCGAAATGGAAAAGGTAGAATATATTCCTATCCCTCTTATTACACTGTTGGGGTATATCAGCACTTGAAGAGATGTCTGTTTATCAGTATCTCATCCTTGCTGTCAAGAAGGTAGCAAAGATTACACAGAGTTCATTCAATTTGATCCTTGCTCTGGATAAAGAGATAGTGATGTGGCCAAGGTCATCTAAGGTGCTATTGTGGCTAAAATGTAATTTAAACTTTGCTTTCACTGGTCTAGGTTCAATGCTAACCAACTTACCTGACCAGGTGTTCATGGGGACATAATATATTGAATAACACTGTGGTGGGAATAGGAGACTTCCTCTGAACAATACCAGCATTAGGTCCTCTCAGTGTCCTTGTACCACAACCTCTCCTTCTCCTCCTCCCCCCTCCTTTCCTTAGAGCTAATTTTTTTACTCCTAGTGATGGCCTGAGCCAGTCCCTGCAGTTTTCTTGGCACGTTTTCAGAAGTGGTTTGCCACTGCTTCCATCCTAGGCAGTGGTGGGTTGCTACCGGTTCACCCGAATTGAGCGAACCTGTAGCGGCAGCAGCAGGAGGCTCCGCCTACCTGCCTGGATGCTCTGTGCATGCAAGCGCTTGTGCCCCCACGAGCGAACCGGTAGCGATGGGTTTTGAAACCCACCCCTGATCCTAGGGCTGAGACAAAGTGATTGGCACAAGGTCTCCCAACTATCCTTGTATTTAAGAAGGGACTAGAATTCACAGTCTCGCAAGTCTCTCTCCTGATGCCTTTTGTACCACACCAGACTTGCTCTGCTCTCACATCCACTTCAAACCAAAAATGCCATCAAACCCTATTACAGTTTTTTTTAATTAATTAATCACTTGGCTAGTTCTTCAGGGTCAATAGCAATTCTTTCTGGACAAGCAATTTTCCAAATGCAGAGTTCAAAGCACCCTGTCCATTTCTTTTTACAAGGCCATTTTAATGTTTTGCTGCTCTCTGCTAGGTTGAACCAATATAATTGATGTAAACAACAGCAAACCTAGGATTCAGAGATCTCAGGGTGCAATATTTTAATGTCATTAATGGAAATTGGAAATGGCTTCCAGATATGGATGCATAGTTTCAGTTTAATGAAATAAATAATGCATTAAACAATATCACACCACACCACAGAGTATCATTTAAATAATAGAATGTGGTATAGTAATATGGCAATAAAAATAAATGCATAATCTCAAACAAATAAACACATCGGGTTGGTTTACAATGATAAGAGCTGATCTGTGAATGAGATGGCTGGTTTCTAAGTTTAATATATAAATAAATAAAATATAAAGACAGAAATTAAAAACATATCAGATAAAAGAGTCAAACTTCAGATGACAGGGACAAAAATCCAATTCCCCAACCCTGCATATATTGAGATATTTTAAATGCTTAGAGAATCAGGAGTGTAGTAGCCTGATAAACAGTTTAGTTCTCATGAACTAGGAAGCTACCACTAAAGAAGGCCAACTCTTTTGTCATTCGGGGCCCATCACAGAACAAGAAAATCATGAAAGCCAGATATGTGTTTAAAAATATAGTGGAAGCAACTTCAAATCCACACTTTACTGATAATCCAGAGAAAGCATGTTAAACGCAAACTGTGATCATCCTTAAAATGCCTATCTGTTGTTGTCATGGGACAGTTGGCTGGTGACCTGGACAATTGTGACAATGTCAAGTTTCACCCAACCCCAGCTGAAACCCTGTGTAAAGCCTTAGATGATCTTGAAAAAGCTAAAATGGGTTCGATGGGAATCTACTTCTTACTTGGATGGGAGACTAAAGGGGGGGATCTCTAAATATAGACCCCACTGGGAAATAACACATAGGCCAGAAGAAGGTAATGGGGTGTGTGTGGAAAACTCCCATTTCTTCATTTTTTCCAAGAAAATAACCTAAACGTCTCCATGTGATCCCTAGAAGCGGTGCCCCATTTGAAGGCTTGTCTGCTTTCAACCACAGACGTTCCCAGGAGCGAGTCATTCCCTTTCACGTGTTTTCTTTTGACTGAATTCAACCAATGCTTGAAAATGCTTAATTTGAACTAGCTGGAACCCATTTCACAGCAAGGACGGCGAGGATGCCTGGAAAACATTATTCTGAACCCCTAGAGACCTCACACACCCGGGGGAGAGGGGAGGGGGCTTCTACGAGGGGAAAAAAAAACCGCGCGTGGTCTTTGCCTCGTCCCGAGACTGTTTTTCTCCCGGCGCTCGCTTCGTGGAAAGAGCCCCGCAGGCTCTCCATTGCTCTCCCTTCCACGCGTCCGTTGGCCGCTGCAATTCTCCCATCCCTATGCCTTTGGATCCCAGTCCAGCCGCCAAAAATTGGGGCCGTGGGAAAAACAACCCCGGGGGAAAATCTAGCGCTCCCCCTTTTTTTGGCAGAAAAGTGGGCGAAACGTGGAAATGTCTCTTCCCCGGGATTCCCGTCTCCACCTCTCCCGAGGCTGCTGGGCTTACCTTTCCCAACCCGGCTCGGTCCGCAGCCGACCAGCCTTCCCCTCCGCTCCCCCGCCTGCGTGTGCGTGTGTATGTGCGAGAGAGCGCCGGAGGGGTGCAACTACCCGGATTCCGACACAAGCGGCGTCCGCGTCAGTTTCAAGCCTCCCCTACGTGCCCGATTGTCTGTCTGGAGCCCGTCTTCCCCCCCTCCCCCCCCCGCCCCCCCCCCCCCCCCCCCCCCCCCGTTTCAGTCTGCGCTCCAAACGCGCTTTCCCACCGTTAGGATCAGCGCTTTTCTCTTGGGTTGGAAGCTGCGTGGATTTGCCTCCAGGGCAAATAGAGGAATAATATAACGGGGTTAGGAAGGAGGTGCTGCTTCCCCCTCTCTTCCTCCCCCCCACCCGCCCCCCATTTCCACCGACTTAGATGTTCAGCTTTGGGGCAGCGGCTCGCGGGACGCAACTCAGGATCGCTGCGTAAAAATTTGGGAGGTCATTTATCCACCTTGGCTGGGTTCTTCTCCGCTTCACCACGTCCAGACGATTTTTTTTTTTTTAATAAATACACTCACGCACACCCAGGCTCTGCCACACACGCGTGTGCGCGCGCGCACACAGACACACACAGAGAGAGAGACACGCTGGACTGCGGCAAAAAAAAAAAAAAATACCACCAACCCACCACTCAGCCGCGTAGCTACTGCACAGCTGTGCCGCAACCGGAGCGGCTGAAAAAAAAAAGCCTCGGAGTGGATTGTTGTTGTGGTTGTGGTTGTTTTTTTTTCCTCTCGGCTTCTTTCTGCCCGCCGCAGAACAAGCGCTGGAGATCGGCGAGGATTTGGTTCTGTACCCCGAAGCTGCGTTTCTGTGTGTTGGCAATTGGTGTCCGTCCGTCTGTCTTGTCTTGTGTGGCTTCTTGACTTTCCATCCGTGTTGTGTGTCGTTCCCTCTGCATCGCTGTCCCTTAAAAAAAAAAAAGAAAAAGAGAGAGAGAGAGAATGTGTGAGGGGAGAGGGATTGAGAAGGCAAAACGGCCCATATTGTGCCCCTATTAGCAAGTGCTTGTTGTCTGTGGAAAGAAACTGTGTGTTGGGGCGGGGGGGGGGGGGGGGGGATACTTTGGGGGAATAAATGTGGCTTGGGGAGGGATATTTAGGAGCAGGAGGAAAAATGAAATATTTTTCATGCCCATATACCAGTTGGAAGGAGATGCCCTTTGAGATGCTTCCTTATCCTTGCTTTGGCTACCGTTAGCATAATTATTACTATTTGTTGGGAGTGGCTAGTGATCGATTTAAACTGTCCAGGTTGCAGTGGGAGGGTCTCGGTCATAAATTTTACCATCGCTACCATCATAAAATCGCTGTGACCTCTGCGCGACCCTCCCAGTCACATATCGCCATTGGGGCTGAACCTGGAGAAGGACAAGGGTGGCTGATATATATACAGCTGACCCAACCAGCCTCTCTCTTACCTCTCTGGCTTAAAGAGAGACCACTTTATATCAAAATGCTCAAAAAAAAGGGATCAACCCTCGTTTTCCGGAGTGTAGCAATTGCCTCCAGAGGTGCAGGAAAGATATCAAAAATATCATCATCCCTTTTCTTTAGGAATAGCTATATTTATTTATTTATTTCTTAACCACCCATCTCCCTGGGATAGTTCTAGGTCAAATGAGATGTGGGTTGAGGAAGGAAGGGGTGGTTTAAAATAGCCTTCATTACAAAAGAGAAAGGGGAAAAAATCTCTGATAAAGCCGATAGGTTGCAAAAAGACATAGTCTGTGGCAGGAATTGGCAGGTATTTTTCTGACTTCTTTTCTGTCAGTTTCCTATGCGTCCTATAGGGAAGGATTAGCTACACATTCCCTGCACTTGCAGGTTAGAAAAGTTGTAGAGTACTTAAATTACCTCCCAAATCTAAGTGATTTATAATTAATGGTGGTCGAGGCAAAGGGAAAGGGACGCTTCCTTCCATGCTGACCCCCTGTTCTGCAAGAGTTGGAAAATGAAAAATTGTACTTTCTTCATTGTTGTTTGAATGCAGAATTTGTCCTTGAAGTGAAGAGTTGTGTATGAAACTTGAAAAATACCTTTTTTCAAAAATTCATTAAAAATTTGAGCCATTCAAATCCAAAAGAAGTATTTTGTTTTAAACTGCTTGGTTATTTAAACTTCTAGTTAGGACTGAGCACTTTTGGGGTATAAGCCAATGTCAGTCTGCCAGATACAGTTAATATGCATAGAGTTAATTTGTGATTATTTAATTATCTATCTAGCCCAGTCCTAAACCAGCTGCATCAGCAGTTAAACACTTAAAATGGGATGAAATAATAGCAGCAATGCACTGTGGGCTTCTGTCAGTGATTTACAGATGCAGCATAGTTAAACTTGGGGTGCCTGATGTTTTGGGAATTTGTATAACCCTTGCTCTTTTTAAAAATTAAATAAGTTGACGCCTTCAATTTGAACAGGGGAAGCAGTTAGTTAAGGGCAGAGTTGTTTTCAGGGAGTTTGCTCTAGCTAAAAAATGTTTGCCAGTATTAAATATTCTATCACAAAAGATGTTCCATGCCAAACTTTATACTGTGGTTGTCAGTTTGACAACTACTTCCATTTGCAAAAGAGGGATAGTAACACGGTATACCTCTTCCATGAGTAGCTATTTTCCTTCCTTTATTTTTTCCACCCACATAAAATATATATTAAAGAAAGTAGGGTGAAAATACCTGCATAGTCGGGCGGTTTTTTAAGACAACACCAAGTTCTGTTTGTCTGGAAGTACTCAACATGAATTTTGGTATACAAGATAGTTGTTCTATTGTATGCCAACCTGGGCAGCTGTAACAATTGTTTAAAGACTGAAATTTAGAATAATGTTTATCTTGAATTTAGTCCTGGTCCCTACCAAGTACATTCTGTGGAATTCTGTGAAGGTGTCTCTGGAGTAGATATGCTCAGATACATAGACTGATATTAAGAGTTTGGGAGTTAACAGTTTGTACTGATTGACTTAAATAGATGCAAAGTCCAGTGATATTGATAGGCTTTGCTTCTGAATAACTGATTTTAGGAGCATAGTCCAAAATACCTATAATTTAGTTGTGAAGTTTCTTATCCACTTTTCGGTAGACCGTTGAATGAATATTTCTATAAAATATTAACTTTGTAATATTTTGTAAAATACTAATAAATAATGTGTTTAAAATAAACATTATAAATTTAGAATAAAATAAGTCAAACGATTAATACCACCTGTCGGAAAGTTGCAAAGGCTCTAACTAGATATATTCCTAGGCACGTATGGAGTTAAAGCATTAAAAAATATTAAAAATATTTACAATTCTTTTGACACTGTTAGTTTAAAGTCTAAAACTTTTTCAGTTTTACAGTCTCCATTATTTGAAAAAGTTTTTTCCTCTTTTCCATATGTTAGAATCTCCACTGTATATGGATTATATATAAATTCTAGTGTAGGAATCTGTGTTCCAACACTAAAAATATGAACCCAAAACTATATCTTTGGGATTTTATACATAAATCAATATTTTAGGTAGTATATTGCCATTACTTATAAAATAACTGCTTCAGCATGTAGTGTTGAAATTTATTTAGTGACAGGCATTAGATACACATGAAGCAGAAATAAAATGACTTACTAATTCCTTTAATCCTTTAATCAAATCAAAGTGAAAAGATTGCTCCATGCCATTAAGACCATTGTTTTACTGTATTTTATTTTTATTTATTTGTACTGAACTTAGTGCAGTTGAAAAAAATGTATGAATGAAAATTAATCACCAATTGGAAAAAATATTAGTCATTCTTCAGATGTGACTTTGTCATACTAACCTCAGACACGCCTACATATGAGGATGTCCCAGTGAAAAGGGCCTTGCTTCAGAATCAACACAAATAAATAAATAAAAAAGTCTATAAGCCAGGGGTCCCCAACCCCTAATCTGTGGACTGGCACCAGGCCACGGCATGCCAGAAACCGGGCGGCGCAAATAAGCCACGCCCCATCCGCAGGATGCAGGCAGCATGCGAAACCAGCCCCCCCCCCCCCCCGGGGCATGGAAAAACCTTTCTCCATGGAACTAGTCCCTGGTGCCCAAGATGTTGGGGGTTGCTGCTATAATCAAAGGATTCAGAAAACACAGTATTACTGCCTGGAAACATTTATTAAAGTGATGGAATAGCTAGGTATTCATAGTTTTAAGAGACCCAAATTGCTGTTCATAATTGTTCTTACAGTTCAGATGATCTTGCTCAGTTCAGTTGATTAATCAGAAGCCATGGTTTTATAAACCTTTCGTTTAATGAATTTTAACTTCAACAGAGTTGAGCAAGTGAACTCTTAAGTCTGGCTAATAATAATGATTTCTTAAGCTTATTTGTCACTTGAATCCCAACAAATCTGGGATTCAAACATTCGAAACATGAAAACTGTGCACACAAAAAAAGCAAAGGTAACAAACCCAAATGGGAATGAAGAGAAATAAATTACTGGGGTGACTTTTCTAACATTATAGTGAAAAAGCCACATCAATTAACTATTGGAATAGTAAGGAAATAAGTTAGAAATATTAATGTCCTATTGCAAATGTTGAAAACTCTCTATTTTTTCTACAGACATACATGTTTATTGCTTGTTGCCCTGTTTATTCAGATTTATATGGAATACATGTTGGAGTAGGTTTTATGTTCTTCGACCTACTATTTATAGTTTTGTCTATCAACTTTCCTGAATGAAAGTGCAATTACACTTAATAATATGTCTTACTTTTGAGTATATATGTATGTATAGGATTATGCTGTTAAGAGTTATAGACTGTTTTTAATGGAATATTGGAATAAACATAACATTTAACATTGATAGCACTACATTTAGATAGTTTTATCTTTAGTGATATAATGTAGATAAATTCTATGTTTGTACAATAATCAAATCCATTGCTGAAGTTGAGAGATTTATAACCATGCTATCAGCATTGATCTTTTTTTAAGAGGGACAGCCCTGATTAAATACCCACATTTTTAAGTGTGCAGTGAAAGGCTTCATTGATTATTTGTACCAATAATTGATAAATGATCTTAGTATAGCAATAATTAGCTTTTAGTGCTAATTATTTATAACTTGA